AAGTAGTTTCTTCTGAATTCCCTAATTCAACTTGGCAGCAAAGGTAAGTTCAAAAGAGTTTCACTTCTCATATGGTTGATTTCTCAAGGTGCAGGGAAGTTGGTGAGAAGAGAAATGGAACCAAAGACGAGGTTCAGGAATGACTTTTGAAAGACAGGAAAGTGGTAGGTAGGAATTTATCAGTACAGGAGCAGAATGGATAATCAAGAACCCACAAATCGCATAAAAGAGTGGGAATCAAACAGTCGCTCTGTGTTTGAGGTGTTCAGCTTGGAAAAGACTGAAAAGCTCGAGTGAAGAAATTCCATGGAGAGATTTAAAACTGAGGGCAAGATGTTTGAGGTTTATTTTCAAACTCATGCTGGCCAGAGTTTCGGAAGGAGTGGTGGATAATGCAACAGCAGGATTTTGTGTGGACAAGAATGTTGGTTTCAAATGAGATGTAAATTGCGATGACTTGAAATTGTCACTCTAGGAACAATAAAAACTGATAACTAAACATTGCTTTGGGGTCATGCAGTAAATAGGGACAAAAGCAGGACTTATACACTTAATAGTAGGGTCTTGGGATTGTTGCCAAACGAAGAGACCTTGGGTTGCAGGTTCACAGTCCCTTGAAAGTGGAGTCACAGGTAGACAGGGTAGAGGAGGAGGAGTTTGGTACACTTGCCTTCATTGGTCAGTGCTTTGAGCAGAGGAGTTGGGGTGTCATGTTGCAGCTGTACAGGACATTGGTTAGGCCATTTTTGGAATACTACATTCAAGTCTGGTCTCCCTACTACAGGAAAGATGTTGTTAAACTTGAAAGGGTTCAAAAAATACTTACAAGGATTTTGCCAGGGTTGGTGAGTTTGAGCTGTAGGGAGAGACCAAATAGGCTGGGCCTATTTTCCCTGGAGTGTTCAATACTGACAGGTGACCTTACTAAGGTTTATAAAATCATGATTAGACAAGGTCTTTTTCCAGGGTAGGGGAAGTCTAGGTTTAAGGTGAGAGGGGAAAGATGTAAAAGGAATCTAAGGGGTAGTACATATATGGAATAAGCTGTCAGAGGAAGTGATGGAGGCTGGTATTATTACAACATTTAAAAGGCATCTGGATGGGTACATGAATAGGAAACATTTAGAGGGATATGGGCCAAATGCTGGCAAATGAGACAAGGTTAATTTTGGATATCTGGCTGGCATGGAGGAGTTAGACCGAAGGGTCTGTTTCTGTGTTGTAGAACTCTATGACTCTATATGACAACACAGAAAGGTAATCTTGGCAACAATAACTAGCAAAAAGGAAGCAGACCATCAAAATGCAGGTAATAAAATGTAAAACTGAGATAAAGGTCAGAGTGTGCCTCATGTCAACACTTCAAAGCAGTAAATATTACCTGTGAAGCATTTCAGAACATTCAGAGGACACAAAGTTCTTTTAGAATATATTTAGTGTACTAACCGATGTTGACAATCTAGAGAAGGACTGCTGTCTTGGAAAATTAACCTTGGTAGCTGCTGGGAGTAGAGAATGATTGAAAAATTAAAGATGGCAACTGGTCAATTTACACATGTGCTACAGGAAAGGAAGTGGTGTCTGTCCAAAGGCCTCATTGCCAGCTCAATAGACTTTGATCTCTGCCTCTGCTGAGAGCAGCATCACACCGGGAGCAGGTTTATTAAATAAAGTACCACAGTGTTCCAGCAGTAGATACAGCACATGAACTTCTGCCATGGTGATCTGTACAGACACTTCCATATCAACTTAGTTCAGAATCAAATGACCTTAACTTCAAAGCCCCACTCGAGACTTCAGTGGTGAAAGAGAACTGCAGTGATGGAAGTGCTGTTTCACATAAGATGTTAAACCAAAAATATAACCTGTTTCTTCGCTTAGCTGTCAAACATCCTAAAGCACTTCTTGTACAGAAGATAGAACTAGCAACAATAGTAGATAACTCAGGACTCCAAGAACACTGCACCATTTAACATGATCACGGCTGATCTCATCATGTCTCAACAGCACTTTCCTGCCTGCTCCACATTACCTTTCAACACATTACAAATTAAAAATCTGCCTCCTCCATAAATGTACTCAATGTCCCAGCATCCACTGCATTCTGGGATTGTGAACTCCACAGATTTATGACCTTTGAGAGAAGTAATTTTTAACTCATCTTTTTTAAATGTGCTACCCTTTATCCAAACACAATTACCTCCTCTTTTACGTTACCTACAAGAGGAAACATCCTCTGTACGTCTACTTCATCAATCTCCTTTAGCATCTTATAGACTTCAATTAGATTTCCTCTCATTTCTCTAAACTCCAGTGTATCGGTAGAAACTGCTCAAAATCTCTCCATAATACAATCAACCATAATGGAATCAATTGAACGGATCTCCTCTGAACTGTCACCAAAGCAACTATATCCCTCCTCAAGTAAGGTTGCATAAGGTTAAGATCACATAGAGCTAGGGGAAATGTATTAGCTTGGATAGACGATTGGCTAAAACTAAAACTGAATGCAATACTCCAGTTACAGCAACACTTCCCTACTTTTATACTCTATTCCTTTAGCAATGAATACCAAAATTCCATCTGCCTTCCTTATTAGCTGCTGCACCTGTATACGAGATTTCTGTGACTCTTGCATGAGAACACCCAGATCCTTCTGCACTGAAGCACTCTGATGTTTCTCTCCATTTAGATAATAAGATGCCTTTTTATTCTTTTATCTGAAATGGGTAATCTCACACTTAGCCACGTTAAACGACATCAGCCAAATTTTGGCCAATTCACCTAATCTATCCATGTCCATTTGTCAATTTCTTATTCCTTCCTCAATTTACTTTCCCACCTAATTTGTGCCATATTTAAATCTGAATATAGTATCTTATCTCCCTGCATCCAAATCATTCATATAGATTATAAATGCTTGTGCCTGGAGAACCAAACCCTATGGCATTCCACTAGTTACATCTTGCCACCCAGAAAATGTCCCATTTATCCTGACTCATTGCTTTCTGTGGTTAGCCAATCCTTTATTCAAGCTAATAAATGACCCCTAACCCTGTGATTTAACCTTATGTATTAGCCTCCTCTGCTACACCATATCAAATGTCTTCTGATAGTCCAGATATACCACATAATTAGGATTATCATTAACCACTTTGCTTGTTACCTTTCATAAAACTATGCTGGGTCCTAGGCATTGTGTTTTGCCTTTCCAAATGTCCTGTAACTACTTCCTCAATAATGATTATAACAATTGCTCAATGACAGATTTTAAACTACCTGGTCTATAGTCTCCTATTTTCTGCCATTCTCCCTTTTTTGAATAAGGGTGTTATATTAGCATTTTAGCACTAGAACCTTTCCAGAATCCAAGACATTTTTGAATATTATAACCAGTGGATCCACTACCTCTGTTCCACTTCTTTAAAGACCCTAAGATGTAGGCCACCACACCTTGGGGGCTTGTCTGCCTTCAATCCCAATAGGTTGCACAGTAATTTTTCCAAATGATAACGATTATTCTATGCTCCCCCTTTTCTACAACTCCGCATTACCTGTTACTATCGGTCTCTTTTGTGAAAATGGAAATTCAGTGTCTCACCTATGAATTCCCCCAGTCTCATATCTGCCACTATTCCCTTTAGCTATCCTTTTAGTCTTCCTGCCTAGTCCACTAGGGCCATGCATGTCCTCTTGCCTATGTAATTACCTTTGTTTAATTCTGGAATACTATTATGGGACTCCAGTTTCAATTTAGTCTAAAGCTCTATCTATAGCCCCAATTATGTTATTTACCAGGGATCTGGTCCCAGCTTGATCGAGGTGCAGCCCATCCCACCAGAATAGCTCCCTCCTTCCCCAGTACCAGTGCCAATGTCCCATGAATGCTAACCCATTTCTCCCACTCCATCTTTGAGGCACACATTTACCTCTAATCTTATTGACCCTGTGCCAATTAGCACATGGCTCAAGTAGTAACAGGTAGTACCCCCTAGGTGCTCATATCCCCCAAGCTGAACTTCTTTCCTCATTCAAATGAAATTGTTGGTACCCACGTGGACCACAACAACTGGATCTTTCCCTTCCCACTCCAAGTTCTCCTGCAGCCTAAGATGTGATATCCTGAACCCTGGAAACAGGTAGGCAATACAGCCTTTGGGGATCTCAATCTTGGCCATGCCCTGAGCTGTACTACCCCCGATTGTGACATTTCTCTTTTCTACCTGACTTGAAAGGCATCCTATACCATGATGCCACAGACAGTTTCCTCATCCTACACTCCTGCTCTCATCCAAACAAGGAGAAAGAATCTCAAACCTGTTGGACAAGGACAAGGACAAGGACAAGGGCAAGGGCAGAGGCCCCTGCAGTGCTACCTCCTGGATCCCGCTGCCTGCCTCACTCATAGATACACCCTTCTGTCCCTGACCACTGGCTGAATTCAGGGCAGTTAATCTAAGGGCTGTGATTATCTCTTGAAACACAGCTTCCAGTTAACTTTCCCTGTCCCTGACATGTCAGTGTTCGAAGCTCAGACTCTAGCTCATCAACTCTAAGCTGGAGTTCCTCGAGCGAAGCAACACTTGCTACAGATCTGGCCATTATGTACCACCAGCTCTGACATCATACAAGTACAGCACATCATCTGGCCATGCTTCTTAATATAACTTTTTTAATTTGTTTAATTTCCTACTGGTCAGAGGAGACAGGATGTTCTTCTTGAGTACACTTATGAATGAATTAACCATTTTTGAAAAAAAAACAGGTCAACTGGGCATTGGTCTTACCAGTTTATGGGATCTTACTGTGCACAAAATGGTTGCTGCATTTCCATGCATTACATTAGAGACTACACCCCCAGCATTTCATTGGTTGTGAAACACTTAAGAAAGTTCAAGGTTTTTGCAGGGTACAGGTATATTTAACAGCAATCTTAACATTGTACAGAGACAATCCTGTTTCAGCATCTCAATGACTTCTCTACTGGTTTACATCCTTACCTGATTCTCTTTGGCAGACGATTCCATGAAAGCAGCACTCCAAGAATCAGCTAAACTCTTCCCTTCTTCATAACTGATCACCCTGAAAGTAGCATTTTAAAAAACTAATTGATGATCAACTAAATGCAACTGACATATAGATGAGATTAGAAATATTAGCAAAAACTGGCAAATGACCAAAGGTTCCTAAATTACTTCTCTATGAACTAAAGAACTACATATTTCCAAACAGAAACAAACAATCGAAATAAAATGAAGCAGGCAAAATTAGATTATCAGAAATACTGAAAGCAAAATTAAGAAAACCAGACAGACAGTCTGGGTGGGAATGGTAGCAGCAAGGAAAAGAAAAAGTGGACAGAATTCATGGTCTGAAGCAGCTGAACTCAATATTCTGGCTAGAGGGCTGAAAAGTGCCTGAATAGAAAATAGGGCCCAGGCTAAGAGAAATATGGCAGATTAATTCCTTAAATGGAGAGAGAGGTAGAGGAAGGAGAGGGATGCGTAACAGATGGACCAGGTGAAGGTGGCTGAAAAGGTATAAACTGGAAGCAAATCTGAATAATTTTTCAAGTTGCAAGGTGTGGTGCCAGTGCAGTCATCAATGTAACAAAAGAGGAATCGTGGAAGCACAACCCCTGCCCCAAATAAAGAATGTTTCACAGGCCTTGCAAAAAGGCAGGTATAATTAGGGCCCAAGGGGCTTTCCAGGCTCATGCCTTTCATTTGAAGAAAGCAACACAAGTTAAAGGTGGAACTGTTTAATGACAAAACAAACTCAGCCAGGAGGGTGGTGATGGATCAACCAAAGAGGCAAGTTCTGCTTGTAAAAGCACATTATCAGGAAGAATTGGGCTAGTGGTCAGACATGTGGCTAGAGGGAAGGCAGAAAAAAGGAAGATTAGAAAAAATATAATCCACTTTACAATGGTCTTGTGTTCCTCATTAGTTTTGGGGCACTTAAATTCTTAAGAAAGGCATAAAAAAGCAAGTAGACTAGCCAAACTTCTAGACAAACTTTTGAATCCTGCAGGCGAATGAAAGTACTACCCAACTATTTGTACAGTGCATTTGCACAGCAGCTTCGATACCTTTCCATATGCAGATCTTTTTTATTTCCAACCAACATAATGGGGACTCTGCAAAGAAAATTTGATCAAGTCAGATTAAATAAAAGTTCAAATATAATCTAAAAGTAATTTTGAAAATAGCTTTTTTTTTTAAAAAAAAACTTACTGCACTTGCCCCACCATATCCAACAACTTTTCATGAATAACCTTGATCACCTCAAAACTGAAAAAAAATTAAAATAATTATTTTTGTTCAGTGATATCCAGTTGAGAGTCAAGGGTGAATAACTATCATCCTATCAGTTTATCACAAACACTTTGATATTTTCATATTCGACACTCTACTCTGGAGACAGAATATGAATACTGGGAAAAGATTACCCATTGGAAAAAACTCACTAGGTCATTTTACAAGCTATAAAAAATTAAAATACTTTCTAATATTTATAGCCTCTAAGAAAGGCACAATGCATTCTCTTAACATTACCGAGGTGATGGTGGAAGAATGGACTGGCCTTGATGCAAATGTAGAATATTTTATTAGGTATCGCCTCCTTGTTGTTTTAGGATTAGGTAAAATTCTACCTTAACTTTCAATCAATGGTCAGCTTAATGGTTAAGCTTACATTGAATCTCATTTGCTTCAATTAATATTAAAACCAGCAGGTAATTATAAAAAGTGAAAGAATGAAAGACTCAACAACTCTGAATGGCCAACTTCTGCTCCCACTGTCATGGTCCTCAATAATATGCAGTTGTATTCTACATGACAGCAAGGTATACTTTGAAGCAATAAGTCCAAAGATGCAATATTAAGCAAGCTGTTTATAAATAATTCATGTTTAAAGATGACTCTAGCTATTAGATTGTATTCTCTAAATCAAAATATTGCCAACTGAAGATCTACCTGACTATGAATCATGTAAAGGGTTTTAAAATGTGTTCATAATCAAAAACTTAGGGTTAATAAATCACACAACTTTAAGATTGATGAATAATGACATTTTATCTAACCTTTTACTTGAGAAAGGATGTAAAGGCACTGGAGGGGGTGCAAAGGAGGTTCACTAGGTTGATTCCGGAGTTGAGGGGGTTGGCTTATGAGCAGAGACTGAGTAGATTGGGATTATATTCATTGGAATTCAGAAGATTGAGGGGGGATCTTATAGAAACATATAACATTATGAAGGGAATAGATAAGATAGATGTAGAGAGGATGTTTCCACTGGCTGGTGAAGCTAGGACAAGAGGGCATAGCCGCAAGATGAGAGGAAGCAGATTTAGGACTGAACTGAGAAGGAATTTCTTCACCCAGAGGGTTGTTAATCTATGGAATTCCTTGCCCAGTGGAGTAGTTGACACTACTTCAGTAAATGTTTTTAGAAAAAAGGTAGTTTTTTTTGAACAATAAAGGAATTAAGGGATACGGTGAGAACGCAGGTAAGTGGATCTGAGTCCACGAAAGGATCAGCCATGATCTTATTGAATGGCGGAGCAGGCTCAAAGGGTCAGACGGCCTACTCCTGCTCCTAGTTCTTATGTTCTTTTAATATTGCACTCATCAGGATATTTCACAAGGACGCTAATTCAAGGGGAAAACTAACATTTATACTTGATAATAATGGGTGTACTCTCTGCGGCAACATATTTACTAGCCATAGCCCACTTATCAACAAAGCAGCACCCTTCTCATCCAGTATAAATATTGTTTTTTCCTCAAATTAGTATTTTTGTGAATTACCCTGATGAGTGCAAGATGAAAAGCTTCAACAAAATGTGTCTTTATACTTTAGTCGAATGCTAACAGACATTATGAACTATAATTTCTATTAAGAGAAATCACAATTTTCAAAAGCTTAATCTGAATGCTAAAATCTCAGTACCACCACAGCAAGTTGCACCAATTCCATGGTGAAATATTCCCTGGACATTCTAAAAATGATTCACATAATTATTTGTGAATCTTGCAATGAGCTGGATTTTTCTGATAATGAATGCAACTCCCACTTGCAATATGGCACGTTAGCCTAAAGACTAAATTTGTTACAGACTGAAAACGGCTTTTATTAAATGTTACATTTTATGCTTAGCCTCATTTAAAGTCCAATTAGTCTGCTATTAAGCATCCTGCCTTGCAATTAAATTAAGACTGCCCTGCTTGCTGACTTAGATTAGAAGGCAGCAAACCAACATCTTCAACTTGAAGCCAATGTTTTTATTAATAAAATCTCTCCAGGGACTGCCTCACGCCATCTTTGCAATGTAAGCGAGCCCTATGCACACCTCTATGCTGCCAAATCAAATATCACCCTCTCGTCTTCAACTCTTCTTCTATCCCATCAATGACAAAGCAGTACCTGCCTTTGACCTTCTCTCAAGATTCTGTGCCAAAATATCTCCACCTATTTCCTTCTTTGAAAAATGGCTCAAAGCCAGTCTTTCATTTCCAGTAGTACAACAAAGAGAAGGGGCTTTAGCCAATCAAGAAACCAGTTTTGAGAGTGTGATCTTAAACTAATTCCATTGCTGTGCTTTTATAATCTAGTCAAATTTCCTTTTCTGGCTCAATATTAATTTTCTAATGATTTAACTCGATGAAGAGCTGGGGGTAAATTCTTACATCACAGTGGCACAGTAGTTAGCACTGCTGCCTCAGCACCAGGGACCCGGGTTCGATTCCAGCCTCGGGCGACAGTCTGCGTGGAGTTTGCACATTCTCCCTGTGTCAGTGTGGGTTTCCTCCGGGTCCTCCGGTTTCCTCCCACAATCCAAAGAAGTACTGGCTAAGTGGATTGGCCATGCTAAATTGCCCGTAGTGTTCAGGGATGTGTAAATTAGGTGGGTTATTGTCTGGGTGGGATGTCTTGAGCGTCGGTGTGGACTTGTTGGGCCAAAGGGCCTGTTTCCACACTGTAGGGATTCTAATTCTAATTTCAAAAAGTGCTATCTAGAGGGAAATTGTCTGTTTCCTCCACCATATAGCCTGTTGCTTTACTGAAAATAATTATATATAAAACATAATGCCAGGAAGGACTTCAATTTATGGTGATACTTAAAACTGTTTCTACATTAACATACAAAGAGTGTTTGAGTTTGCTTTTGTAAGGTCATGGTTGATTCAAGACTTCAATGCACTATGTAGCAGACCTGTAAGGCATTTTAGCCTCTTGTTTAAAAAGAAATAACTACAATAACACAATACAATCACAGACACACACAGACACACACAGACACACACAGACACACACAGAC